AAATCCCTGTTTTTAAAGACAATGGAAGTCATCTGGAGATGGGCTCATGAATCTTGTATAGTACTGTGTTATCCTGCCAAGATGTGAGAAAACTGTTATCACATTTCTGCATCTGCTTAAAGATCTGGGAAAGCAGCAAGGGCAGAGGTCATTTCGGGGGGGAACGTGGGGGAACGCAGTTCCTCCGGGTGAGGTGCAGGGGGGCGGGGCACATGACAAAGCCCCGCCCCCTGCTTCCGGCTGCCCCACTTCCAGCCCTCATTCAGCCAGGAGGAGGCAGGAGAAGAGGGAGGGTAAGTTGCTTCCTCCCCGCCTCTCCCCACCCCTGCCTGCCTGGGGCCAGGGAGGGCCTTGGCGGGGCTTCCTCGCACTCCTGCTGGCCTTGCAGGTCCACCGCCGGGCCCCTGATGTCAGGGGGTGTGGCATATGCTAATGAGTTATGCTAATGAGTTCCCCTAGCTCTTTTTCTATGAAATGACCCCTGAGCAAGGGAATGTTAAGATTCTTTGCTCCACTTGGCAGGACACTACAGACCCGTTCACTAGCAAGGTCAGACGCACACGGTGGTGGAGGTGATGGAAAGTGCCTCAAGTCAAGTCACAGCTCACCTATGGCGACCCCATGGGAGTTTTTCGATGCAAGAGACATTCAGGGGTGGCTCGCCATTGCCTGCCTTCACAGCACGACCCTGGTATTCCTGGGAGGTCTCCCATCCAAATACTAGCCAGGGTCGACCCTGCTTAGCTTCCAAGATCTGGCTAGCCTGGGCTATCCAAATCAGGGCTGCACACTATGGTAAGCAGAGTTCTTTGGTAAATGGCCAGCATTGTCCTTCTTCACAGCCGTCTGTGCTATGCTTGCCCACTTCTCATGTCCCTTCTAATCCCTGTCCTTTCTGGGTACCTGTCTATGCCCTCTGCATAGAAATGCTAATTGTTTCCTCAGATTCGGTGTTGTGAAGCAGCACTGATAAATGACATGCTAAGTCTGAGCTGTCTTGGGGGGAAAGCCAGTTTTGGTATTCCCCGTCTGTAAAATGGGATAAACGTCACAGCATAGACTTCCGTTAACTCTCACCTGCTGCTTGTAATACAGCTTTATTCGATACAGGTTGATCGAGGGCGGTCCAATATCATGCATGGCTGGTATCGTTTGGAGACAGGGGAAGCATAAGCACATCATACCACAGTTGAGATGAAAAGAGATCTTTGCATATGGATGCTACCCCTGCACCTGGTAAGGCTACAAATCAGGTAATGGAACTTTTGATTTCAGGAACTGGCAACTATACGCTAGGACTTTAAAAAAAGATCTCATTTTTAAACATGAGATCTGAGAAATGAGTTGCACCCCACTTTTAATAGCTATGACCATTTGAAGCTGTGAAAGTTGCATTTGCTACCTTGACTTTTTGCTGCTAGGCCAGCTTTAGAGGTAGCACTCTGCAACGCCTCTCTGGCTTCTAACCTTTAAATAACAGCTCTGCTGATTAAGGACTAGAGAAACTACAGTCAGGTTCAAGGGAGGTCTGGGCTACCGACTCAATTGACTTTATTTCTCAAGGGATTGAGTGCCACCTAGTGACTGAGTTGATTACAGCAGAAATTAACTTTTTTCCTTTGCTATCAAGTCGCAGCTGACATGGCAATTATTCCTTAGAGTTTTCAAGGCAAGAGGCGTTCAGAGCTGGTTACCTGGTGCCGGCATCTGCATAGTGACCCTGGACTTCCTTGGTGGTCTCCCACCCAAGTACTAACCGGGGCTGACTCAGCTTAGCTGCCAAAACCTGACAAGATGGAGCTTGCCCAGCCTACCCAAGTCAGGGCAGAAATTAAGTAGCTGCTAAATAAGATCCCATCTATTCGTTCACCATGCATTAATTTTACTAAACGCCCCCCCCTTTAAACTTCTGTTGTGTCTAAGAGTGCTTTTTATTTTCCCCAAACCACAGTTTAAGTATTTAATGCTGTTAGCAGCAAGAGTTACTATTTGTTCAGAGTTTCTTCTTTTGGGGTGGGATCACCTTATCACTACCCCTCCAATCTGAGTCTGTTTGGTGTAAAACTGTGCAATCAATAAAAGTGCACAATTTAAACCAAACCTTCAGCAAATTATTCTTAAATCAGCTGCCATCAAAATCAAATAGGGCTATAATTTACCACGTTACAACCAAAAAGTGTCTATTTGCAAACTTGCAAATAAGAGTAATATTGTGTGCAAGTCTTAAATCGTCTTTCCACATCTTCCATGTTTTGCAATTATTAGTGGAAAACAGAAAATAAAAAGGGAGGCATAGCGTGGTGGTCAGTGCTTTACATTCCTGTAATAAGACAATTCGTGCAAACTATCATTTCAACCCTGTGTGAAAATCCCCAGAACCTATTGAACTATCTGGCAGCGACCTTCAACCTCAAACACAAGGCACAGGACTACTTTAAACAAACTGACATTCTGAGAAATACTAAGACAGATTAACATTTTTTGCTGGCAGAGCAACCCCATGAAGCATCGTTAAGTCCAAACCAGATGCAACGCCAGAGACCCCTGCTTCTGATTTTTTTAAAACCTGAAATGCAGGGCTGCAAATCTGAATAAAGGCATGGAGGAGGGGAGATGATCAACCCTTTCCCCTCAGCTCCTTTTCTCCCCCATGGGGCACTTCAGAAGTCAGTTTGGCCCTTACTTAGCGTGCTGAAAGGATGTCTTGGATCCAGCCTAAGTTGGCGAGTTTCCATCAATTCCACCTTTCCCCTGCAGACCCCCTTCATGTTGTTCCTCAGAGTTCTCTGTCTCCCAGGAACTGTGTTTTGTGGAGATTGGTGGGCTGCGGTGGGAAGGGAAGACAGGAAAATTCCATTATGTCGAAGGAAAACTGCGTCCGGATCCAACCCAATGAACTGAATGGCTGCACTTAATTTAGCATGTTGTGTGCAATGTTGGGTGGTGGTGGGATGATAGCTTTACAGCAGCGGGCCAGAAGGAAGGGAGTCTGAATAGCCCAGTCCCTTCTCTTCTTGTTTAACCTGTTTTCCACAACAGATCTAAGTTTCTACTCAGAAATTCCTGCTTGGCCATGCTTCTTTTGGCCGCTGATACAGAACTAGTCAATTCGCACATGCCCCTTCCTCTTCACTGAAGTGCTGTGAATTACAAGTACTTGCAAGAATGAATACCGTGTCTTACTCAGGAAAGGCTGCCAGCAGTTTCTAGTGGCCTCTGGCCATCGTGGCACTGTGCTTATATCCCTCTCCCAGTCTCCAATGACTCTTCCTCTCCACATGTTCACTGTGTGATTCACCTCGCAACCTTACACCGCATTTATCACAACTGAAAGGTGTTATTGACAGACAGAGTTTCCCAAGACCGTGTTATCAACACATAGTCCTCCCAAACGACAAAACCTGGCATGCTCCCCCTCCCTACCAATGAACAAGCCACACACCTTTTCCAATAAAACAGCTGTATTAAGCACAGTTGGAAGCTGGATAAGGGCTAAACAGGGTGTTTCTGTTGTAGCAGCTTGGAAGCTACTTTTAAGAGATGGTTTCCGCTTCTTAGTAGGTTACATATCTACTGTCTCCCCTTGAAGCTGGTCTCACGAGCACGGGCCTTTGCTGGAAATCTGAACATGCTGCTTTTCCTCCCTGTAAAAAGAATGAAAATGACAGGAGATGATGTGATGTACAAGCCCCATCCCAGAATGTAACTGATGCCTGCAAGAATGACAGAGTACTAGTGACTCATCCTTGTCCACAGATATCAGCTGTGACATTCAACTATCGATCCCTCAGTGAAGAAAAGATCACACCCAGATATGAGGAGAAAGTCGGTGATGTATAAACCTCTGCCTGAGACCCTGGACTCAAGGTTGGGAAATACCTAAAGATTTTGGAGGTGGAGCCCATGGAGGGCGGGGTTTGGGAAGAGGAGGGACTTTAATGGAGTATAATGCCATATGGTCCCCCTTTCAAAGTGGCCATTTTCTCCAGGTGAACTGATTTGTCACCTGGGGGTCAGTTGTAATAGCAGATCTCCAGCCACCACCTGGAGGTTGGCAAACCTATCCTGGAGAGCCACCTCCAGAGTAAACAATATTGGCCTTGACAGACCAAGGGTTTGCCATAGTATATAACAGCTCACTGGTGGTCTGGAGGACTCAGGATAATCCCTCCCCTGTCAGTGCCAATGCAAAAGACTTCAACTGTTGCTGACAGTTGGTTTCTGTCATCAAGCTATGTGCAGACACTGTCACATTGGGAGGGGCTCTCATATCTGATTTAACTGTATTTTTTTTAAAGAATCCGTTATTTTCTGCATAACGGGGGAGTCCCAAGTATGCAGAAATCTCTCCATTATCTGCGAGCAGCCTAATTTCACTATCTAACTGGCCAGCACAGGGCCACCATTTGCTATTAGAGGGACCAAGTTGAAGACCATAAGAAAAAGGGGGCAGGAGAAGAATCAGTGGGAAAATTCACCTCCCTCGCTCTATGGGTTTCGCTGAGGTCTGCACATTGAATTGCAGCATTTTTTTCCACTGGGCCTCCTCACATCATTTGCCTTTTTCATGGCTTACATGTTTAATCAAACTACCTCTGTTCCAATGTGAAAAAGCATGAAGGAACAGCAAAAGAAACCATGGGAAGACAACACAAACAGTGAGAAAACTTAAGAGAAAAACCTCATGGTGAGGAAATGCAGAGAAATATAGAGCGTAAACCTCTGTGTTGAGTAGCAGAACCCTAACTCCACAGTGCTGAGTTCTGTGGTAGAAGAGGAGCTGCCTGCAACCTTAAGACTGCAACACTAGATAAATATATCGCCACCCTGCTCAAGTTTGGGCTGAAAGGAAGAAAGAAGCAGCCACTGTTCATTTCACCAAGTATAATAGTTTAGATGAATATTGTACTAAGAGTGTCTACACTGTAGCTGGGTGACTTAGTTGTTTATTTGAAAAGCTAACATGAATTTAGGGCTAAATGGGAAAAAGCACTGGAAGTTCTGTGACTATAGTATGCGACTTTAAAAAAATGCAATCACCCAGTGCATATCAGCTCAATTCAGATTGAGTTTTGGGCACATGGGAGGGGTGTGTATGCCTTTTTCTCCAGACCACTTTCCCAAACTGAAATTTCTTTTGAGAGCTACCGAAGAAAACACATGTGTACGAGTAACTGACCTGAAAGATTCCCTTACAGCTTGGCTTTCAGACAGAGGGTAAGAACGATTAATTTCCCATTACCTGTTTATAGAGCAAAGAGTACACTCATTTGGATATGTTTTTCCATCAGTCCCACAGACTGGATTAAAGTTCCTTGGGCATCCAGGCAAAGCATACAGATTGCATTCGGGCTGGAAAGAAAACAGATTTGCTAACGGAACAAAGTTTGAGTCCAGTGGCACCTTTAAGACCAACAGAGTTTTATTCTGTGTATAAGCTTTCGTGTGCTTGCTAACATCTACTCAAAAGTGTCTTTTTAGAATGTTTAAAATACAGATCTGTCTGTCCCTACAGCCCACAATGCCCTCCCCCCCAGACTAGGGAACAATTAACAGAGTTAAACTGAACATGAGTTAAGTGGATCTGTGCAGCATTCAGCATGTCATAACGTGGGAAGGTCATTGTGTATTCAGTCTGCAACTCAACCCACACCTATCATATGTCCGCTCAGCTTGCTTTCTGTAGCTTGGAAGCGATGCTATCAGTGCAAGTTGAAGGCTGTGTTAAGCACATGATGAAGCAACTGTGTAACTACTCATGGGCTATTAAACTATGGCTCTCTACATGGCAATTCTGTCTTGGGAAGACAGTGTGGTATAACAGCTGTGGAAGTGGACATATACTGGGAAGACCGTGGTTCAGTGCCCTAATTACTGGGAGAGCTTGGCTCAGTCAGTTCCTCTTAGCCTAATGTTACCTTACAGGGCTATCTGCAAAGCTTCAGTGGGGGAAACCTTCATGTATGCTGCCCTGAACTCTTTAAAAGAAGAAATAAAACAAGCACAAAGTCTTCCCTCGTTACGATTTGTGGAACAGCTATCAAACACTACATGAATCTGATCGGCAATATTCCCGGAAGAGGGAAATTTCCTTCCAAGTTTATTCATAAAACAATTTTTATGCTTTTATCCCATTCTCCATCCAAAAAGTGGCTTCCAGAGCAGCAATTATAATATTTTAAAAATGTATCACGGTACCTCTCCAAAGGCCTGCTTGGTGGATCAGGTTACCCGTGACACATATAGAGTAAGAAATATCAGCAGTCGCACTTTGCTCACAATAAGCCTCTTGACTGTATTCACTGTGCTCTGAATGGCTGGGCAGTACACGCTGCTAGGTGGCAAGTAACCCCAGGGGCTTTTTAAAGGCCTTTTAACAAAGGGGATGAGAGAATATACTAAGACAGGGGTGTCAAACATAAGGCCCAGGGGCCGGAACCGGCACATCCAGGGCTCTTATGCGGCCCATGAGCAACTAGTGCAAGGGAGGGAACGGGAGACTGCTGGGGGTGGGGGGGCAGTGGGCACAGCCTCTCTGACTGTGGCTTCAGCAGAGCAGAACGACCTCGTCCACAGCAGTCAAGCAGTGTGGGTGTGTCTGCCCAGTGCTGCACCGCTGGCTCCCCAATCTGCGCATATGGGTTTTTCTCTGCACTTCCCCCAGCCCACGGGGCTTTGCAGTGAGGATACAACAACTTGATTGTATCAGGAGAGAGTGGAGGGACCATAATTAACTCTTGATCTGTATGGGAATCTGTAAATATTTTAATGTTTTTATATTGATTCATACAAGACATATTATCTTATCATTGCTTTGACAGCTGTTATATTAATTGTATTGGTTGTATTATGATCTTTGACCGCAATAAAATCTTATCTTATCTCAACAATTTGGAGCTTACCAGCTGCTGTCCTTTACACATTTTATCTCTCCAGTACCTGGCAGTACATTTTATGGCACACATGGCCCGGCCCAACAAAGTGACATTTATGTCAGATCCGGCCCTCGTAACAAACAAGTTCGACACCCCAGTACTAAGGAGCTTTACTTTGCTCACAAGAAGCCCCTTGGCCTGATTCACTGCAGCAGCTGTACTTGTTATTTCATAAAGTGATGGGAAGAGAGTGGGAATTCTCATTCCCCCTTCAACTCACCTCAGAGTCCCCCTTCCCTGGAGGAAGCATCAACAATAGCCCTGGAAGGAAGACAAAAACCGTCTCATTAACACGGCAACACCCCCATTCCTTCTTGCAGCAGCCACACTCCTCCCCCCTCCTCACTTTCAAACACACAGCAAGGTTGCCAACTGGCAAGAAAGGTGATTCTGGACAGATAGCCATCTTGGGGCGGTCTGGCCATCATCTTGCAGGCAACTTATGGCAACCCTGTAGGGTGTTCATGACAAGAGACAGTCAGAGGTGGTTTGCCATTGCCTGCCTCTGCATAGCAACCTTGGTATTCCTTGGTGGTCTCCCATCCAAACACTAGCCAGGACTGACCCTGCTTAGCTCCCAGGACGTCTTCAGTGCATTCCTATGCAGACTCAGTCCACTAAAGTTAACGGTCTTAAACTAGAGTAATTCTGCAAGGGATTGTACTGTAGGTCAAAATAAAACAAAGAGTCCAGCTAGCAATGTTTATCCCAGCAAAAATATTCATGGACTAAAGAACCCACTTTGAGATGAAAATAAAGCAGAAGCCTTTTAAACCATTTTTATTCCAGCAGAAGCTTCGGTGCTCAGACTCAAGAAATCTCATGCTGGAAGAATCAACTTTGTCACCCATTAAAATCCAGGAGAACAGGCCCACGCCAAAGACGGAGCCACAAAAGAAAAGAACGATGCTGCAGTGGGAAGAAAAATTATTGTATTCAGTTATACTGCCCCTACATGTTTCACCTGTGCTTTTTCAGGGTTTGGATCTTATAAGACCATAAATAAAAAAAACAGAAAAAAATTAATTCCCATTAAAAACAGTAATTATTCTCTCCAGATAGTGCAGAGCTGGGTCCTATGAGCACACAAGATTTCTTGATCAGTCATCAGAATGCACACCGTGTAGCTTAACACTTGTGGGACCATACTGTTCACTGTGATATAAATCTACTGCTTGTGTACAGTAATCTAGTTTTGATATCGACAAACTTGATCTGTTTCTCAATTATTTTATGTCTATATTTTGTAAAGCCTTTTTGACATCAATAAAACATTTTTTAAAAAAATAAACACAATACTGATGTGGTAAAAAGACAGTAAACACTGGTCCCGTTCACACGCGCGATTTGGTCCGGGAGCGGGACAGTTTGGGGCCGGATCAAACCGGCGCGATCACACCACAACATCTGGGAAGCGTCTTGCTTCCGTGGCCGAACTGTCCCATTCCCAGGAAACGCCTACCTAGGTGGTTTAAAGGGAAGCGGTGCGGCAACCGGGGCGTTTGATCGCCAGCGCTTCCTTGCGCCGGCTCAACCCCGGCCCGGATCCGAACTGCGCATGCCCGGACATGCGCAGTTCAGCCGGCTCCCGTTCGGGCCGTGTTTTCTCCCCGGCATTTGATCGCGCCGGGGAGGAAAGGCGCCGCGGCCAGGGGATCCGTGGGATCCCGCCGCGGCGCCTCAACATTGGCGCGGCTTTTAAAAGCCGCACCTTAAGAGGCTTTTCCCCTGCCGTGTGGCAGGGGCCACTCTGAATGTGAAAAGTGCATATTGAGCCCCCCCCTCCCCGGCGCTTCATTTTGACAGGAAAGACTTTGTGCCCCTGCACTAAGTAGATTTCCCCATCACGGAAAGCTCGTACTGAAATAAACGTCCAGGTGGGCAGCCGTGTCGGTCTGAAACAGCAGAACAAAGTTTTCACGTGCACGCCCGCTTCCCCAAATGCACGCAAACAAAAGCTTTAGAATTAAACTTCGCTGGTCTTAAAAGCGCGGCTGGGCTCAAACCTTGAAAGAAACGCTGTTCGTCTTTCAAGGTGCTACTGGAGTTTGTTTTATTTGGTCCTGAACAGCAGCTCAGGACAGAAATACCAGCAGGTGCAGCCCCGCCAGCGCAGACACCGGGCTGCTGTCTTAAAGGCGCACAAGAGCAAGCGGCGGCTGGCAAGTTGGCAACCCCCCCCCGGTTACCGTGGCAACGCAGTCGTCGCGGAGCTCCCGTCTCGTGTCGTCCCGTCCCCGTCCCTCCCCCCAATCAGTCGAGCCGTTGCTGGGGTTAAATGGAGGGAAAGCCTCCGCTCGGTACCTGACACCATCCACAGTAGCGGGACCGACCGTCTCATCTTCTTCCCTGGGCGCCACTGGCAGGAGGAGGGGCAGGAGGAGCGGGAAAGGCCAGACCCGGCCTGAGGTGTTTGGGAGGCCCGTTAGAGCGCGTGAAGGAGGCCACGCCCACGCGATTCCCCCCCCCCCCCCGGCGCCCCCGGCGCCCCAAGAG